TGGTGATCTGACTTATGTCGGGGAACGCGGGGTAAGTTTGAGTGGCGGTCAGCGTGCACGGCTAAACTTGGCACGCGCAGTGTATTCTGATGCCGACATTTATCTTCTGGATGATCCGCTTAGCTCTGTTGACGCGAAAGTATCGAATGAAATTTTTCAGAGGTGTATCTGTGGCACTTTGTCCGATCGGATCCGACTGTTAATTACCCATCAAGCTCGTTTCCTTGGAAAGACAGATCTGGTTCTTTTGATGGACAAGGAAAGCAAGTTGACTAAAAGCATTGGTAAAGAGCTTAGTGAATTGGAAGAATTCTGTGAAATTTCTGCAGCATCCTTTTATAAAGCAAACGAAAGAGGCCTTTTTAGTAATCTGGTGCCATATGGAGTTCCGATGACAAAGACTGGTAACTCCTCTCGTATGGAAATCGAGGAAGAAGATCGCCTAACTGGTTCCGTTTCCTATAAAACTTACTGGACGTACCTTGCATACGGAGTGTCAAAGTTCTTCATAATGATCTGGGGAGCTTTAGTAGTTTTACCTGAAGGTTAGTGAAATATAATCATTGCAGAAAACACTTAGCACATTTACGTATGAGACCTTATCTAGAAAGGGAATCGCGCCATCTAAGCAATCTAACCAGGAAGGATGCGGTTTAGGGAAAATTCAAGACAATTATGCAGACCGAAGAGGCAGGAAAGCGTTTGGACAACTTTTGAAAACTAGATGGAGTTAAGACCCATGAAAAACGCAGAAAACTGATTCGAGAGACCCCTGCCCAACGCAAGTAGCTCAACCTTGCACAATCAGCCTCCGCAAATATGCAACTATGTTTGCTTTTGCGCAGTGGTAAAAATACAAGGATTTGTATGGGAGTAAACGGTCGCACTCTCAACCAAGAATTCTGAAGTAGTTTTGCATAAAAACAAACGTACCTTGCTTAAGTGGTTGTTCCTTTATGTCTTGTGAGATGTTTTAGCTTAGTTAGGGCCTTTTAATTAGCTCGGTTTTAGTGGTATTTAACCCATTGCGCAATGCA